AGCCCCGATGTCTGCTAAAAGCTGTCTCCTGGATGGAGAAAGTGACAGAGTTCAAGTTGGAGCTTCGCGCTACAGGAGGGCGTCTGGCTGGGACGGCTAAGAATATGTCTGTCGAGGTCCTCTACAAGGGTGCTCCGTTGATCCAAATAGCATCCTGCTGTCCAGTGATGGTCTTCGTGTCCATCGAGAGAGTCGTTCTCGACGATAGCAAGCCGAGTGGTCAAAGTTTGCGCACTAAGGCCAAGAAGAGGAATCCTTGATTATAACGTTCCAATGCGGTTGCTACAACTCGCTTTCTCTTCACTGCTCTTGAGTAAATTGTGCAAAAGGAGTCTCCGGCAGTGGAAAAAGGAATACATACAATCATCACATTCTTCGCTGTTGCGTAGACTCTGGCTCTACCGAGTGCAGTGCTGGAGATGCTGCACGGCATCCAGTAATACCGCTGCTTTCCAAAACTGAGGGGTCGATAAGCATCAAGAGGACTCGGTCTTCCGGTAACGGGCATACTGCTAAGAAAATGTGCTGATGCCGTCTACAAGGTCATCATACATGATGTTGGCAGTGATGGAGAGCATGTGTCCATCGACTCCATAGCATTCTCAAAATGATACAACTGGATTGTGTGCAGCATGCCGCACAAAGAACGCTCGATTTTAACGTCACTAAATGAAAAGATGCGAGACGCTCTTGACTGAAATTTTGCAGACTATTCGGTTTTCAGAGCGAGTGCGAATGCAAAACGCTAAGCTCAAAACAACTTAGACACGAAAGAACATGCTGTTTTCGCCTTCTCGAAATAGCGTTTTCTTTTCTGTCTCAGTTAAGGTTTAGGTTGCCGTATGCTCAAATCTCGATGTGTTGAAAGATTCAACCTGCAAAAAAACTCTAGAAATCTCAAAGACTTCTCAACAAGCTTTTGTCCACCTGAAATCTACTTGTAAACCCTGTCAAGAGGTTACTCACTCTGTCAATAGCCTGCAGTGCGCTAAAGTCTATAATGTTTGGTTTTCAGCTAATTCAATTTCCTTTTATCTTTTGCTAGTCTAAGAAAGCTAGAAAATAAATCAGCTAGTGGAGAAGGTTGGTCAATATTTAAAATGACTATCTTTCTCGATTAGCTGATTCATTCTCTCTTATTCTTTAAGCGTCGCTAGAAAGAATAGTGGGAAATAAAATGATGTAACAGAGAAGAGTGGTCATTTTTGACAAGATTGAGCACTCTTCTTCTGTTGCCCAATTCATTCCCGCTTATCTTACCAGCGTCTGCCAAGAAAGGTAGTAAGAAATGAATCTACGGTTGTCTTTTTGGCTTAATTTGTGTCTTGTGTTTTTTTTTCGTGTTTTTTCCACATCTGTGTCTTACAGGCAACTGACTTCGGAATAGTCATCAAGTTGAAAAGATGCGAGAGGCTCCTGACTAAAATTTTGTGACTGTTCGGTTTCAAAAGTGCGAATATTTATTCGGTGCAATGCAATTTTGGGATATGTGACTGTGATAACATAGAGGGCTTAAAACAAACAATGCCTCACTGTAAGTCCATAATTGAGTCTGACACGGAACGAACATGAAACGACTCACTATCTCTCTGCGCAGACATGCAGAGCGGCATCGGCTCCGGTGATGGGCAAGCGTCAATCGTGGAAGCTCTCTATGGGCCAAGAGGGTCTAGCACACTCTTCTGGGCGGAGGCTTGTTGTGCAAAAGGCCTCAGGCGCCTGCCAAGTCTGTGTAGAACTTAAAAGGCAACCGGACCTTCTTGAAGCTCTGAAGCGACAGAGTTCGAGCCCTTAGCTGGGTTTTGGACTTGAGACGCTCTTAGCTGGGCTTGGACTCAAGCCACAGCGCAAGTCTTGACTGTCAGCTTTAATTGGCCGCTGGTACGGATTGAAGGAATTGAGTTTTGGATTGGAGCTTGGGGTGCAAGGATCAAGATTTTCCGGGTCATTAGGCAGTAAAGACATGCGCCACCTCTGTCGCTGTTTCCTCCGGAAGATGAATGGCTGTCTCATTTTGCTGCATGTGTATGCTTCTTTTTTCTACAAGAGTCTTTAATGCTCATACTTATGGCTGAAGATAACTGTGATTGCTGTGGGCTCTATGACTCTTGAGGCTCTGAAATTCCGCCTCCATTGCTCGTGCACACAGTGCACAGGCCTAGACCTTGAGAAAAATCTGGTATGTCGCAAGTATGCTGTGGGAAGACAAAGACATCAAGTTCAGAAAGGTGTTTGGAAAAGTCTTCTGTGATTTTTTAAATTCTATTGGAAGAAAAACCACTTCAAATAGCCTTGGCCATTATGCTCAGAAAATCGACAGTTTGCAAAAAAGCTGCACAAAGAAGAAGGATTTGGTTCCAATCTACAAAATCGAAAAGGCGGCAATCTACAAAATAGTCGCAAAAAGAATTTTTTGGTTAGTGTCGTTCACTTTAGTCCCTCATCTCCAGCCTGGACTCTCTCTGTGGAAGGAGTCCCTAAAGTCACTTCTTACCTTGAGAGGCGGGCCTGGACTTTGGCGAGAGCAAGAGGCACATGAGAAGAACATGCTGGTGCAAGGTTCTATGAGATAATGGGTCGGCTCGTGCTGATTAAGAGGTTGCTTAAAGGTTGCTAATGTTCCCCCGCAAGGTGCCATGTTTTGAAAATCGTGTTTGGCACGTCTTCACTGACGTTGCGTCTGAGACCGAGGCCAACAAAGTTGGGGTGCTTGCACAGGAGGGGCGAAGGCCGCATTTCTAGCCTGTTGGCAAGTGACACCATCTGCCATGACAGATGCGCTGCGGAGAGTGGAAGTTGGAATAAAGGAAATGTCTGTTGCACCAACTTACTGGACTTTCAGAAGAGGGACTCTCTCACGCCTTCCGCGTCGGAGTTGGGAGTCACAAACATCGGGCGATCACTTGCAGATTGAGGCCGACTCTTGGATCAGAAGAGTTACACCTCATTTTGGTCACTCTAACTTAGTTGCGCTTGATGCTCTGCGACCCAGCTCTGTGCCTCGACCGTATCTGCGCATCAGCAGAAGGGATCGAAACTCTGCATACCACTGAACACCGTCAAGCCTGGCAGAGACGGTGTTCAACCTTCACAGTGTCGTTTCTGTCGGCTTGAGCCACTTAGTACGAAGTCTTGCTAAAAGAGAAGTTTTACTTGTCTATTCTTTTCGAATGGGGCAAACAAATTCATTCCCTCTTGCCCCCTTGCAGGCAATGTTGGAAGATGCAAGCAATTTTCAGACGATGAAAACACAATCTAAGTCTCTTCTTCGACCTCTTCAAACACATTGCACAGTCGATAAGAGACCGTCGCAGTTACGCTTCCCAAGCCCGGACCGTTCAAACGTCGTGTAGATATCTGCAATCAAGCCCAGGCTAGGTACTTCTCGTGCAAGGTTCCGTATGAGTTGGCCGAGGCATGGGCTGGTAACATGAAACACATCATCGGCTCTGTGGAGGCCGACGCTGTCTTGGTCACCATGGCAGTCTGGCACCAGTTTCTTGCTGGCAAGCGCCATGTTGATAACTATGGTGCCATGGATGCTTACGTTAAGGGTACGTCCACTAGTGCAGATTCGCCGTATCCTTCTTGCCTTCGAGAAGCTGAGTGTCTGCATGTCTGCATCCCATCCAAAAGCAACTGCTCTGACTATCCTTCCCGAGGCGAGTTGTCAGGGATTTCGGGTCCTGTCATTAGGGATAGTTGCCGATGCCCCATTACTGGAGCTTTCCTTGCCGACCTCCCGTAAGTGGTAGTAAGAGGGTGTTGGGTCACGTGAGTTTTGTCAATCCCCATATTGAAAAAAACAACCGCCTTCGTTTGCAACTTTGGGTTATATGTCTCCTTGACTGAGTTGGCACATATCTTGATGGATGGTTCCAATTTGCATAATGTTTGAATTTGTGCTCAAATCACAAAGATTTGGCCTGAATTTTTAAGTAGCCAAGACCTCCAGCTTCAAACTAAACTCAGTTTTAAAATGTATATGACAATCAGGGCTTAACAAATGAAGCAATCTTGGAATTTTTTGTGTGCTTGTGTGTTGATGGCCTTTTTGGGAGCACGACTTCTAGGCATTGCTATATGTTCCGAGCTTTGGCGGATTGGGTTGCAGTTTTTAAAAGCCGCATTTTCCAACGGCAACACAGCCATCCAGTTACAATTATTGTGCGAAACGAAATGGAATTGCCATGTCATGGGTCCGTAAACATTATGTTTGTTTGAAGATGGGTCTGTAGACATTACGTTTGAAGATGCAGGTTTGTGATGTGAAGAAATTCTCCTGCATGCTGATGAAGCTGCAAAACGTTTTTCGCGGCTTTGGCTCGGGGTTTGAGCAAACAGCTGATGTTGAAGAACATGGCGTGGGCGCATGGATGAAGCTTACTGTTCTTGATACTGAATCTTGCATGGCGTTTGTTATTTACGTTCACGCCAGACAGTGCAGCGATCTCAGGCTGGTTTGTCAGCTTGTTGTTAGGATACATCCTGCCATTCAACGGCTGAATGCGTGGGTAGGATCGTATGCATCCCAAGCAGCAAACACAAATTGAATATTGTTGTGCCAACGAGGGCAAACATGCAGATCACCCTCTCATAGGTTGTTGTAACCGACCCACAGCACCTGTTCAACACAACGCAGCTTGGCACGGGCCGTCATGGGAAATATTGGTGACTCGGACGCACACCCGGCTGGACAAATTGAAAAGGTAGATCCGTCTGTGAATAAAACATGCGGCAGGGATCATGCAATGTTATGGTTACTGGAACCCCGTGTTGTACTGTTTGATCCAAGACAGTCGACTGTATCCAGCTATGAACAAGCACATGAGCCCCTGTCAATATCTGGCTTTCCAAGGCATGATTAAGGATAGACGTGGGGTTCTCTTTGGTAGTTTAATGCAGTCCCGATTATATTGCGTAATGAGGACCCATGTAAATTCATTTTATGGGAACCATCGAATGTAGCCCACCGGTGCTGTCGTAGCCTTCTGTGTAAGGTAGCACGTGCATGCGTGATTGGGCTCGGACGGATGATGCCGAGCAACCGCTTGTCTTGGACTTGGTCATCGCATGGTGACCGTGGTGAGTGCTTTGGATTGATCTCATTCAGATTTCAAGTGTGCTTGTTTCTGTCAGGTCAAATTGGTACCACTGCTTTGTCCTGGCACCGCCAATTCAACTGCCCAGGCATCTTTCATGACACTGCTGCACTGGCCTGATGTACACAACAGCAGGATTGCATACATCATGGTGCTTGTGTAGATTCCTATCGTGTTGAAAACTCAAAGCGTTGCTATATTCTGCTTTTCACGCACAACTTGCATCAGGTATCTATCGAGCGTGTCGGAACGAATGGCCAGGCGTGGCATGCTCGGGTGATCGAAGACAATGAGCAGTGGGCAGAAACCAACGTATCAATTCTGTATGTTTGATCTTAGCTGCGCATGTGCATAAACTCTCGAATATTGTTGGATGCGCATCACATTTTCCAGGATTCGGCCGAGCCTGCCGATTCCAACATGGAACTTCCGGTGACGTTCCAAGAAGCGTGCCGAAATTCTTTATGTTTTGCAACCTGCTTTTTTCAAATGCTCGTGCAACAGCAACAATCGTGTGTCGCCAAGGTGAATGCTGATCCACAGATTTTTTTTCAGATGGGACCTCATGGTTTTATCTTTCTCGGCAGATGGATAAGCAACGTGTTCCACAGTGTTGTAAGATGTTCGCAGCACCCTTGCAGCTACATTTTGCTTGAGGCAGGGCCACAATTCGTCCAGCTCCAGATCCCGATGGTCTGGCAAGGCCGTTCTCACATGGTTATTTTAAGTCGCCAGCAAGCGGCCGTCAAAGATTAGTTTGCATCATCAAAGACACTTTGCAAGTGGAGCCTGGCAGGGGGACACCACCAATGTTCCACCAGTACCGAATTGGTTTCAGGCGGACTCCTCAGGCAGTTGTCGCAATCACGAGTCACAAAATTCCTTGTAAGTGGCCTTCTCAAGGTGTACGACAAGAATAAGGCACCCTTGCCAAAGGAGTCCCCGCGTTTTGATGAGGCACTCCAAAGGTTTTGCAACAAAACTGCGCAAGGTTGGCAAGCTGAGTTTTTGATGTCTTGTCAGGTCTCCACCATGGCAACTCCACGAGAACAGGTCGGAGGTGAATTTCGCACCCCAGGACCTAGATGTGTTGACTCTTTGAGTATGCCTTTTGGTGTCTCGTGCCGGGTCCTGCTGGGCTGGTCGAGAAATGTCAACCTTCGGCGACACTTGCCGTTCGAAGATGTAATTCTTTCAGCGTCGCAGCCCGTCCTGCAGGAGAAATTAGGCAATTGCGACGCAAACTATACGAATTGGCAACAGAAGCTTGTCAAAACTTTGCAGTGTGAGAGGACCTACACCACGGAAAGATTTCAAGGCGAGAGAGTCGCCCTTGGCTCCCGCTCTAGATGAGGCCGCTTTCTGCTCTCGAGTGATCGCAGGACATGTTGTCTGAACAGATGATTATGGTATTTTGTGCAGGGCAGACGCGAAGGGGAGATGCATTACGAAGGTACTTACCTTGGAACCATGAAGCCAGCTCCTAAGGGCACTCTGTCCAGTGGTTCTCATTCCAGACATGTTTTATTTCAGGCATGGACGAGGGCGTTTGAGAATGCCGAATTACGTCTACGAGGCAAAGCAGGAGCTTGTTTGAGTCCAACAGATACAGATCGGGTGACCTGCCAGGGCGAGTTTCAAAACGATCTCAAGCATGGGTTCCTCCGGCATGTTGTTTGAAAAGGATCTTGCAATCTGCAGACGCAGCATTTGGAGTAAAAAAGCAGGATCGGCATCCTTTCATGGGATGATGGCAGACGCTATGAAGGAGGGTCGCAGGCTTACTGGCATGAGGTGGCTCGAGTTGGTTTGGCTGAAAACTTGTTGCTTTTGCTCACGGCAACTTTCTTTGTCCTTGCGAGAACAATGGAATAGTTCACGTAGCAGGATTTTGCACCTCAGGTTTCAGCAAGGCCAGTTTCATGGGGCTGCTGCCATGGACCTGGACATCGATGCTGGCTTCAGGCTGCATGTGAAGCAATGTTGCATGTGAGGTCATGCAATGGCCAGATGGCCGCCGGTACATCGGGCAATACTCGGAGGCCTCGCTTCCCTTCATTTTTAATGAACTAATGCTGCACACAACTTTCAGGACCGCAAGCACGGTGAGGGCACCTTCTCCTGGCAGGCATTTCAGTGCTTTGTGAACGCGTTGTGCCAGCTTTGTGGCAGGGCCTTTCCTTTGCCTTGTGACTTGTCAGGATGGACGAAGATACGAGGGCCAGTGGGCCGCAACCTCAACTGATCTCAACTGATGTCCCAACCAAAGCTCCTTTGGATCCAGTGGCATATTCTGCGCATGCTTAGGAGAGTGGAAGATCCAGGGCAGTTGGGTTGTGAAGCCAAAAGCAGCTTTCTGTCATTGGCCGTCAAGCCGAATGGAGTAATGTACAGCTAACATGTTCGTGCCCCTGCAACAGAGGCTTCAATCAGGTTTCCTGTTTGCTGGTTGACCTCGTCAGGTCTCAGGTTGCGCTATGCACGTTTCGCCATAAATGTCGCACATGCATTTTTGTGTCGAAAATCGCAACAATCGCAAGTAGGGCAGCCATGTGTGCTCTCTGGAAGTTTGTTCAAGGTGGCTGGCAAGCGGCACGGCGTTGGCACTTACACCAACGCCAAGGCTGATTGAGCATGGAGAGACACGGGATTCTGCCGCATGATTCATGCGTGAGCATGTTGCCGGACGCAGTGCTTTGCTGCATTTGGTCAGGGCTTCACCCGACGTGGCACCTGGCAGCAGGATAGGCCCATCAAGTGGGAGGCGTGGTTACATGCAAGCGCCGTGTGGGATGGTGCAAGCAGAATCCAATTTGATTGGCGAAAAACTTTGCGGTGAAGCATCTGCAGGAGCCGACAGAGCAGTCTGTCGCCATGCCGATTAAACTGTCAGAGCAAGGCCCATCCCGCCAACTGGAGCTGGAGTCTCAGCTTGCACCAGTCTTGGACCATCACAGATTGTGCACTGGCTAGGACCCTGGCTGCGGAAGAAGAGGCAAAGCTTTTGGCTGTGAATCCTTCAGCTTCCTACAGTCAGGGCATGTCAAAACATTGTGCAGCCTCAATTCCTGTTTGCCATCCTCACAGGTTCTTGAAGTCAGCACATTGTGAGCAGGTGGCTCGGCCGAGTTTGATCAACGTACATGAAATGTGAATGTCATTCCAGGTTTCCTCGGGAGCTTCCAGCATGAGCACGGTATTATAACAAAAATCATGAGGGTCAGCAGACAATAAAAATTGGACAAGCACTGCCTGCACTGCTCCAATAGGTGCCGCCGTTTCACCGAGCTAGTTGACGACTCAGCGGCCAAAGTGTCGAAATCCGTTTATGGTGCTGCACGTTGCGGTCTTGCCAATAGAACTTTGCCCTGAGCTACATGGAGCAAGCTTAGAACCTTTATTCTTTTCGTTTCCTGTCGCACGGGCTGCATGATCTCATTGACCTGAGATAGCTACCTGCAGGTGTAGCAACTCATACGGCAAAAAGCGTCACATTAGCACTATCAGTACAGAGGAGCACAGGGGACATGTTGGACTAACACATGGCTTAGAAGATCGCTCTTCCGTGGAAAGGTGCACCGCACGCTGTGTGTAAGTTGTGCATGTTTCTGTGAAGCAATTTTGCGGTTGGGCAGGACGGACCCAACCACGGGGAACCATGGCCGTGGCCTTGCAATTTCACCAACATCTAAAAGGACTTAAAGACATGTTGCTTCGTTGCAATCTAAACTTTCCCCCAAGGTGTTCGAAAAGTCATTGACAGCCATGGTGAAGGGCATCCGTGCTCACCGCGGAAAAGAGTCGGTCCTGCCGGTATGGTTGACTTTTGTGCATGCCAGTTAATATACTCAACATGCCAACGTTTTGTATGCATGTTGGTGCAGGAGTACATCAACTCCTGCATCGCAGAGATCAAGAATGAGGCTTGCTCCCCGACTGTTTTGTGCCCACTGAGAGCAGGGTAGACATCATCAAGCATGCTCATTCCAGCATGCCTCGGACTGTCATTGCCCAAATCTTCTCAGGACTCAACGAGAGTTCGCGTCTGTGCTTGTAGCACATTCAGGAACAATTGTTGAACTTCTGGATTGGCTTGAACTGCACGCAGCATGTGAGCTTTTCATCGCCAAAGTCCATTCTAGATTCTAGAGGTTGAACGTGGGTTTGAGGGTCCGGCTTTATTTGCTGGGGTATGGCAGGTCACCTCCAAGAACATGGCGACAAAGTCCATGGCCGTCTTGAAGGCAAAGCCATTTTTTTTTTTTTTTTTTTTGTGTTAAACATCGATTCATTGTCTGGATAGCTCGCTTACCTCAATATGCTGGGCTACGACATGGGCTGGGCCACGTTCGCTGTTGTGGAGGCCAGGCAAAGCTAGGCATGCTCTGAAGAATGCAGGGCAGCTGCCGAGGTGATGAGCACAAACCGTTTTGCAACTAAGCGCCCTGGGTCGAAATCTCAGTCTGTCTGCTGAATTCTGTCTCAGACAGCCATGTTGTCAAAAAGTAGAGGTACCTTGCCTCAAGCATAGCCTTCACAGAGCAGACTGATGTGGGGCTTCTCACCATCAATCTCTTCAAGAAGGCTCTTCAGATGCACCTGTCATTGATCCACGCATGCTCTCGCGAGGACTTTGGATCTCAAAGCGAGTACCAAACTGGGATGGCCATCAGCTGCTTGAGCAACATCTGCTCACCGGAGGTCTGTCCAGTCACCAGTGTTCAGGGCAGCTAGCTGATGTTGACATTTCAGATTTCCAAAGACATCATTACTGACCTGCTCTCTTTGCTTTGGCCCCAGCTGCATGAAGGCCCGCTGAAAGAGCCTCAGTGTGAGGGGTGAAAGCGTGGCCACCTCAACTGCCTTCACATGTCAATTTAGGTTGAGCTCCTCCCGGGCTTACTTGAGAAAGCTTCCCGGCCTGACCTTGTGCTCTGACGCGCTGAAGCCCTGGACCGAAAATCTTGAATGCAAGACTACGAAGGAAGACGGTGCTGTGCCTTTACAGGATCTTTCTCAAGGCCCTGGCAGCTGTTGCAGCCAAGCAGCTTGAGTCTCTCAATGCCAGGATCCACCAGCGCTGCGCACCTGCTTTCCGAAGCTGAAGGACATTCGGCTGGACCCTGCATGCAGCGAGGCGCATGCAGTGCCTTTTTTTCTGCTGAAGGATCGTCTGACCGACGAAGACCAGGCTCCTGTGCTGCTGCTGATGGTATCATTTTCTGCCTGCCGAATGCTTGGGAAGCACTTGCAGGTGAGATTGGCCATATAAGCAAGTGTGCCGGAATGTTTCATTTCTCTTGGTCTTGGATGCAGCAAGAGAGGGACGCCACAAGACTGCATAGTAGGTGCGATTCAGAGGTTGCCTGCTCAAGCAAATGTGGCTCGAGCAAGCCTTAGCTTTGCTCCAGGCTGCCTCCTCCACGGGTTGGTTTAGGCTCTCGTGTCCGGGGCATTGCTCGGGGTCTCTTCTGCTCACTTCCGTGGTTTTTGCTTCAGGGTTTTTCTCTGGGGCTCTTTTCTGCCTTTGGGTCTTCAGGGCATCTCTTTTTCTTCCGGGTCCGGCCCAGG